TCTTCATCAGTGATGAAATGCTGGACGCACGTGCTCTGGTGGAGGCCTGGTTGCTCAAACAACCGGAGGAACATAAAGCTCAATTGGGTGCTCTCATCGATCCCAACTTCTACACCTGCCTGGAGTGGGTCCGCAAAAGGGTATGTAGTTGGTAACCCGCGTGCCTTTAATGCTTAGCGCAAAGTTATCTAGTTATTGAAGTGGGTTTGGATCCGATTAACACCTACCAGAGTGGGGCGACATATTGCTGATGAGTGCGAAAATGTGATCGTTTGCATTAACGATACGAGAAGACTATCACCGAGCTCAAATACTGTTCTGATGCCTAGAATAGATGCATGCATTCATAATCGGTGAAGTTTCATGTTGCATAATGCATTAGTCAAAGATTATGTCCTGCAGACAATCTTCCGTTGTCGGTGACATTATTCTTTCACTTGTTGAAGTATCCACGACTCCGGTACATGATTACTTGAGAATCGTCGATGAAAGTTACTTTTGGTGGTTCAAAAAAACTCCGGCTTTATATCATACTAATCTTTACTTTTGCACTGATATAATGGTTTAACTGAACTCTTCGGTTTGATGTGGTTATGTAGTCCCACCTGAAGTAAACAAACCCCAGTCACCTGTAATGCGGAATCGGTGGTAATAGGGGTTTTTAGAGGTGGGGCCGGGGAACGCACAGGCGACGAGGTCAAGTAGTTGTACGCATAAGAAAAGCTATTGGGAATGCACGATTGTACTTTTAATAGTTGAGAAATAGTTGCGCTAACCCCTAACCCTAACCCTTAGCCCCAACCCCAACAGCATTGTGTCCATCAGGTGGAGCTACCGAACCACATCTTACCGACTATTCGCATTTGGTCTGTTCTTGATGGTTTATTCCCGTTCGAAATTTGGTGCAGTAATTTTGAGTTATTCTTTTCTTACTTTATGATCTCTGTCAGTGTTGGTGCTAACAACCCAACTGGACAATCAAATAAGACCAGAGTTCAGTATTGCCACGAAATTCACAAATAAATGCTAAATACGAACTCCGTCCACCTTTGTAAATTAAATACATAGTCCGTTCCCCTGCCAGTAAAAAGTGATCTGGAGTTTTGATTAAAAAATGGTCTTTCATTGACCTATGACTAAGAAGAGGTCGTAAAACATTGGCGACAGCAGATCTATATAGTGCTCTGCTTCACCTCTTATCAGGGACAAACGGGGCGAATGCTCCCCGGCAATGACAGGGCTCGTTAGGGCAGAGGAAATCCACGCAGACACATCGGTTTCTTGGTTCGTATCTTCTAGGGGATGTGTTTTAGTGATTAACACGCGTCTATTTCATAATAAACGACCCCAGCCTACTTTACTTCTTTGGACAGAGAACTGCGTTTCAAATCCAAAACCCCACTACTTTTCACGAACCTATTAATTTTTTTACCCAGAATGAGTGCCTTATTGGTACTAGCTATGCCGGGACTATATTAAATGGACTTTCCCATCTGGTTGGTGCAACTACTTGCGCTCGCTTTACCGTTGGACTGATTCGCGGCCTTGGTGCAAACTTGCCGGAATCAACGAAGTCCCAACTAGCTCTAAAAGTCTGCGAAGTAATGGGGGAGCATCCTCCAGACCCTACACACCCCCTCAATATTCAGGTGAGCACTTTGATGTACTGTACAAAATTCTGTTTGGTGATAGTTGTCTCTTAGTTAATCTAAACAGTTATTCCACTGACGCCATTATTGGTCACGTCACGGTATGCATAACATATGGCCGAACACGAAATACCATATTCCAAAAGTTCCGGTTCTATTTCGTTTTGCTATTTCTCGTGCAGTTAAAAACAAGGGTGATGAGCTCAAAAGTAACTCAACAACTACGAATACGCGTACATCTGATGAAAGCAGGCAGAACACTTGTAGTAATTTTAACCACAATCTCCTTTTGATCATAGCCTGATGCTTTTCTACACAGTGTGCCATTAAGATACCTACTGTGTTAATTCGGCTTCTCTCAGGTTGATCCGAATTCAGGAACTCGCCTGGTAACTTACCCTCACGGAGTAAGAATAGTATTCTCCGACAGGCCAACCAGTCTTGAAGATGACGCCTTCGCGTCAACAGGCGATGTCTCAGCAGATTCCTACCCCACACTCAACTGCAATGCCATCTCGAGTCTGAAGCCTCCGCTTGTCATTACGCCGCATGTCAGGTGTGCAATGGATTCTTTCCGATGCTGGTTGGAAGACGCTCGCGCTCAACAGTCCTTCCTTCTGATCGGTCCGGAGGGGTGTGGAAAGAGGTTAGTTTAGCGCCATCTGTCTGCAAACTGGTAAAAGTCTAATATCATTCAACGTGCTGGGACATCGGCACGTCTGCGACCGTAACTCGTAACATGTAAAGCCAACATCAGATATCTCCAGGTGAATGCGGTTCTGGCCCTTTGGGTCGATGGGTTTTACTTCCATGTTACGCCTGAAAAGGTACTCGTCAAGGTAACTTATGCTAATGTCGAGTATATGATTGCGATCAAAAACTTAGCTCTTGACGGGGGACAGTCACGGCGCGGGGCCATCGGGGCCGCCAATTATCACCGCGGCCGACGAAGATGGGCGGGATTCAGGTCACGGTGACATGCGGGTCGGATGCAGCCACACAGGCGGCATTGGTGGGTCAGGCATTAAACAAAGTGCGCCATAAAAGGAAAGCTGTGTGCACGACTGCTCAGTCTCTGAAGATGGGTAGAAGAAACGACTACCCGAAACGTCAGACTTGCTTGAGCTTTATTTGCCAACTGTGTGAGCTATGTTAAGGTTTCTGACCGGTCGGGCCGCTACTTTCCCAGATTCACCAACAAGTAAAGAGAATTTTATACATGAAATCGATCGTTCGTTTACGAAACTATGCACAATACATTTTAGCCAGTCATTAACCTTGCCGTCTGTTTCCACAAAATAGCATTTCGTTACCGACTTACAACACTTAAGTTTATGCATAAAGTCCGCGTTTTCAGGTCCCGGTTGACAGTAAAAGGAAACAATCTTTTGGGATGCTTCAATTGTCCTTTCCCACATGTTGAGTTATTCGTGAGTGGCGGAAAAAACGGCGAGAACAAGCGAGACTCCCTCTCTTTTATCAATGATTTGTTTTCTACTACAAGCACAGCAACACTGCCTTTCTCAACATGAAATTCGAGTCTTTATGGCCTACAGATCCTGTATTGCAATAACCCGAAGTTTTCTTACAATGCCGTACAATTATTTGTTCTACCAAGCACGGACAAGTGTTTAGGCCTTGATTTGGGCCTCACTTAAGTAGGGTCAGGTAAATCAAATTGAATTGCTACGACGAAAAAAACAATACTGAGGTCTGTTTACGGTTATTCTACAAAAGTCTACGATACCATTTAGTG